TTTCTTCACCAGTTAATATCTGATATTCCAGAAATATATCCATTTAAGAATTTCAGGAAAGATATTAAAATATCATTCCAATTCTTTGTTATCTTGGACAGCAGTGAGGCATTTGGATTTTGAAAAAGATGCAACAAAAGGCGCTCCAGAATTTTGTGGTTAAATATTGAAGAAACTATCTATCAGACTGATACCACAACGAACTATCTATTAAGATTGATGAACCGATCAACAAAACAAATTGAAAATACAAACAAATTAAAATGCCGATAAGTAAAAACAAAAAGAAAAGTAAAATGAAGAGAAATGATGGGCGTAAAAGAAATTAAACCGGTTATTATGATTTCATGTTTTGTCAGATATTATCAAACCAGAAAAAGTAACACCATTTCCACAATAGTTACAGTTATAATTGATAGAATATCAAAACAAAATAGCTGAGAAATCCAATTCGACTCGATCAAACTTTCATATGAAATCCTTTTTTTCGCTGTTCTGCAACACCGTTTCCCTTACTTGCAGAACAAATTTTTTTCTGAATTCTAAAACGATTTTAAACAGGTCTACAGAAATTCTCTATCAATAAAACCAAATGATTCTTACAGTACAAACAAATTCCCAAACTCTCATACACATGGTTAAATTCGAAACTTGCCAATATATCATATACATAGGAGTAATGAAGCGTTAATTTAATTCTTAATTGTTGAAAAATTAAAAGATTGTAAGGAAGTTTGTAAAAAAAACATTGGAAATACTCGCGAATGACTCTATAAGTCAATCAGTGTTTTCAGTGTAATACCTGTATTAATTGGGATTAGCAAAATTGTAGAGAAATATTTTAAAAGTCTTAACTTATAAAAGCATTTACTTAACCTTCTTTTTCATAGATCAAATCTATTCCATAGTAAAGAAAATAACTAATTATTTCAGAGGTATAATAAATTTGAACATCGCTATACCTGTTTCCAATCACTTTATGGGAGAATAATTTTGAAATGATTAGGTCAATGATATTACCACCCGTCCTGTTACGTTTAGCTAGTGTTGACCCAAGATGAAAATGATGTTAGAATGAATGCATTTCGGTTGGCCGAGCAAGACTGCATTTTTGAATTCGTTGTTAGAAAAGAGAAACGTATTAACAAATAACAAAATTCTTAGTTTAGCAGAAAAGAATGATGAACATTATCTATTTCAGCTTAGTAATTTTAAAAACTAAGCCATCAAATGGCGCTGCTGCTTAATTTTAGCACATTATTTCTTATTTATTTTAGAGTTTAAATCCGGGGTCAAAAATCCAAAGCTTCAGATTAAATTCAACCTCTATCATCCAGCCATTACAAATGACCATTTGTTGCGAAATTTTTCTCCTGTGTAAAAAGGACGCTATTTTTCATTGTAGGATTCAAGAATCAGTTTCAGACAGATGGAATGTTATTGTGATCTGTTTGCGTTACTTTGAAAGCACACAATGATGATAATGTTATTCGTAATGGTTAGGAGACCACTTAATTGTCGTTACAGTGTGCAGCATATCACTTGATTAATTGCATTCTACTCAAAGTGGATAAGATTATAGATTACAGTACAAAAGCATAATGAGAAAATGCGTTCCAATATTCAAATAACAATGTAAAGGTATGCCACTCTGTTTATGTACACTACTCCATTGACTTCCTTTAATTTAAAAAAACTGTGCTGAAGATTTCTTAATGTCGCTCTTATTTCTGTAAGATAATCATTAAATGACGGAAATTCCGTTCGAAGGTGGTATATCACATGTTATCGATCTTGTCAATGATTTATTATTTCCCACTTGCATATTTCCTCATTCAATCTCTTATGTGAAATTACTACTATTTACTATTTCCTGCTAATTAGATCATGTCAAACAGAAATTTTTGACATCTTAAATTTTCCAAGTTCCAAGCATCAAATGTCCACCGAAGTGGTGAATATCCATAAATGTAGTTAAATTGTAGTTTTCATGACACGTAGTTGTTTGCTGATTATATTTCATAGAATACGAATTTGCTTGCCTTTCTTTTTGAAAAAAAAAAGTATCATAAATGCTACAACGGCCCTACCCTATTGATAACGGCAAAACACCAACCAGAAATCGCAAATCAGTTTCTTAAAAAGTTTAACCATTTTTGCCTGAAAACTAAAACGAGTAAATCACGATAACTTGAAAACAGCACTTTCCAAGCAGAATGTCACTGATATGAACATTGACATTTATTTTGGAAATAACTAAAACAGCTAAAACTTGCAGCAAAAAGTAGGGCTTTATGACAGATTTTTACCTGTGGTAAAAGCAAACCACAGTAAAGTAGAAAATATTTACAAGTTTTTGCAAAAAGAGAAAAAAATTTGCAATCGCCTAACTACATGATTTTAGTTAAAAGACATTTGTGGTTAAAGTAGGGAGACGAAAAGAAAAAATGTTCCATAGTTCCACTACACTATATTGCTTTATAGTCAAGTTTAACTATAAAGCAATATAGTCAATATGATCATGTAACAAGTTCAGAATGAGAGGAAGAAGTGAAGCTTTAATGTATTTCAGGGGAAGAAATAAAGAAGCATAAGGACGACGGGAAGGGAAGAAGCTAGATTCAGATAAAATGAATTCAATTTTAATGACGTCTAGATTATAGTTATAAAAATAAAATCTCTACATGTAACAGAGCAGACCTATAGCAGCCTAAATAATAAACACATAATCAAGAGAACAAATAAACGGATTTCTTTAGACCACCGCTCATTTACAGCAAAACAACGACCGATCAACACAAACCAGGCTAAACAGTCTCGACCTTAAAATTTTTATAAAGACATTAACAATCAAAATAAACTAAACTTATGACTTCAGGTTAGTGAATAAAAGTAGAACGTCTTATTTCTAGCCAGTTCAGTACACATTATAAAATAAACTGTCGATTCGCGGAAAGAACAGAATAGAAAATTTGTAGAAACACACGCAATAATAAATGGAAGAATCAAAGACGAAGTATAATGAACCGACGTCTATTATATTTTGCAAAATAATAAAACCATGATGTCAGTTTCCGAAACATTCCTTCTTGATGTGATATAAAAACTGCATCAAGTTGAAGACCAACTTTCACATGAGCTCAGTTGGGAAAATTCTCAGGCTGCATAGTGGATACGATTAATAGGTTCCATACTATTGATTGTAACGAAGTCGGTTATGAAATTTAAATAGTCAAAGATACTCAACAAATATTTATGAAAGGCCCACACTGTAAGACAGTTCTATAGACTATCGGAGTTCGAATGTAACTACTTTGTCATCGCATGATGTGCATGTATTTCGTGTATCAAATTTCATTGCATTTGCATCAAAATTAAAGGAATGGAAATTTGCAACAATGCAATGAACAGTGTAATGTCAGCCTTTTTATGCGAAACTAATTTTAACCCTATATAACTTGGGAAGTTGCAGTTATTTTCGCGGTATTTTGTGGATCAATTAACTTAGATCGGTAGGGTAAAGAACAACAAAAATTCATTTAATGATATTGGCATAGAAAAACGAAGACCAAAGTCGTTCGCATTCGCAGTTAAAAATTTGGAGAAGATGTTAGGAAAATCAACGAATACGATGTAAGAGAAAAAATAAGCACAAATTGTCCGAAAACAACACAGAAAGTCTTGTGTAAAACTAAATGATAAAGAAAGTACAAAAAATTCAATAAAACTGTCACTAATAGAAATACTCACACTCCGTTCCCTTCTAACCAATATTAATCAACGTACCACATCGAAAACACAGCAATGATAAGTACAACTGGGATAAAAAACAGTAAATCACTAGTACATTACTGATTAGAAAGCTGGTATAGTGCTGCAGCAGCCAACGTGGAACTGTTGTGATAGCAAATGGTGCGGTGAGTAACGAGAGTTGAAGGAAGAATGCAGAGGATCTGAGGGCAGTGCGGGTTGACGTGGGAGCCATCACATGATTTCATATTTTAATATTCGAGAGCATGCTCAATACCTCTCCCTCCCCTCTGTTCTCCTATCACTCCTTTCTCCTATCATCTCTATCATATGATCTAGACATCTCTCTTTCTCCTTCCAAACTCAATGAATAAGGCTTCTTTTTGTAAATATTAAACCGATTAAATGTATTACAGCGTAAGAGATGAAATGGCACGAAAAGTAGCACTATAATCATCATGCCAAAGGAATGGCTTTGTAAATGGATGAAAGCGCTTCTCAGAACATGTGGAAACGATGACTTGCTGGCACTTTGAAATTGAAAGAAAAGATCATAGCTTATTTTCATTTTTATAATTCATGGTTTCATATCACGATGAACTATATATATATATATATCATAGCCAATATCCCACTCACCTACATATGGACTAGTGATGATCGATGGGATACTGAATCATCAGAGTTGTTAATGTGAGTGAAAAATACGTTTGGAACAAAAACACCGAAAACTGGTTACTCTCCACATAGAATGGTATGGAAATGTGCAATTTAATACTCTCACAGCTATTCTTATTAGCATAACTATTAGCAATGAGTTTAACAAAAATGCAGCTCAAAGGTGATTGCCGTTCGCTGTGTGGAAATGAATTTCTTACTGCAGCAAAGTGACACAATGTAAATAATGCACGAAATCGATGCAAAAAGTGCAGGAGGTTGACTGACCAGAAGAGTTTACTCTTACGGAATGTTTTCATATTTAATTTCACTTTCATTACGAAGTACTTCTACTCCGCCTTTGCTTGTCCTTTTACCAGTTCTCCTCCTATCTCCACTTGCCTACTCTTCAAGACAAAATAATCTTTGAACCAAATTTTGTTAAGCAACAGAAAATAAAAACGCTTCTGCTGTTAATCTTCCATCTCGCTACAAAACAGAGAACAAGTTAGTTAGTATACGACATCTCCTCCCATCCAGCCTGTAGCTGTCAAATAAGGGCTGGTAAGAAAGGATAGTTACGACAGTATAATTTACTGGATAGTTATCGGTACGGTGCTAGGACGTTCTGATGCCACAAATCCTACGAAGTCACAAAGTGTTAAACTGCTCGCATTAGAATCCTCCGTACAGTTGTACGGATAAGAACGGTCAGTCACTGAAATCTGTAAGTATAGGACTGCAACTAACTGGCTAACTAATAATGCGGTCTTAAGTTCGTCTGATTCTTCAATCCTAGGAAATTCTGCAATCGATTCGCTGTGAATCCATCGATTCATAGTTATTACAAGAAAATCATTGAAGGTTTGTAAAACAATAAATGTAGGATTTTAGGAATTTGCAATGGCTGGCTCAGTCAAAATATATGCTTTCAGCGACATATACATTGTTCACTGCCGAAGGATAACAAGCATTCCATGATAATGTTACAATTCGCTAACAAAGTCCCTTTTATTTCTTGACATAGAATGCATATATTTACAATGTTTTGAAAGTAGCAAACATTAAACAATCCCTCGGAATAAATTCAAACTGAAATAAAATGTGAGCATTTTTTCCGTTATAGGTAGAAGATTAGAAGACAATATTAGAGAATAAATGGAGTAAAAACGATGATAATTCAACAAGTTCAATACAATCTTGCTGTTGCAAGCACTGACTAAATGTTTGTAACAATGATGCCTCGCATACTTAGGTACCGAATAAATAACTAAACATGACCTGTCAAAATCACGGGGAAAAATAAATGACAACGAACAATATTGACAAGAGTTGAATGTTGAATGGAAGTACTTAGTGATGCTGAAGAAGATGAACATGATCACTGAGAAAACAGCGAATGCAATGGAAACGACAAGTCTTTCAGTAAATTGATTAGTTTAAGAGAGGAGATTAAAGTATCGACACTCCAGCTTTCATCACTATCTCAGTTAAATTGACAGCAGTGCATTGAGGAATAAACAAAGCAAACTGGATGGACAGAAGTATCTTTTAGGGAATGTTTCCTATCAAGGACGGATTGATTCCAAGCGTTTTACAAACTCATTGCGGTACCGAAAACATCTCTAGTAGTTTGTAGCTACCACTTACGAATGAGAATTATGATAAACAAAAGAGACATATATACATTTTAATCACTTAAAGCTTGGTAAGTACATGGCTGGAAGTTGGACTTAAAGATTCAAAAATGTAAGAATGTTGAGGAATTGAAGAGGTGGAGATTATAGATGCAGCCGAAGAGGAATCGGTGAATAGTTGGTTGGAGGGGGCTTGGATATTTTGTGTCATAAATGTGTCAAGGAAATAAATAGGCTTTCTGAATGAGTGAATGGAAGGCCCCTTCCAACCATTATTATCTGAAAATGCTAGTACAGGATAATCAAATAGTCACTTCATTCTTCTCTCAAAGGATTAAATTATGACATCAGTTGTATGATAGAAATATGAATGAATGCATTATGTTCTCTTGTCAACATTGTGACTTTTCATACTTTAGGAACTAATAAATTTGGTATAACAATAAGCATTATCGGTTCAGCACAAAACTACTGAAAGTTTTCAGTTCTAAACTGAGTGGCGAAGAGGCCTCTTTCTAATTTGAAATTAGATTGAAAAACTATAAATTAGTGTCACCCGTCAAACTTTTATTAATCTTTTCAGTTTACTCTTGTGCAGTGGGAAAAATTTCGCTCTGTTGGTGAAAGTTTAATTAAGCAATTCGAGCACATCGCTCGACTGTCTCAAAAAATTCCATTACTGAGGTATTCTTATTAATTATAATTTCTCTTGATAGTTATTGTACAATTGGAATACTCAGGCAGATTGAGTGCTAGCGGCCACTTTTATTATCGTTATAATTACACCATTCAAAGATCTATGATAAGGAAGAAACATAAATTCCTTTACCATACCATACCAACAGTTAAGCGTATAACACGCGTACAATTGATTACACAAACTATTAGGTGGTCGACTTTTATAACATAGCTTGAAATTCAAAACATTTGTATGAAGTTTATTGATCCTAGTCATTAAGACACTAAATTAAAATGTCAACCGAAAATTAATTCAAATCTCACTTGCACCAACCTAGATCCAACCTGCAATCGAAATTCTAAAGCAGAACTGTTTTAAATGTTTAAATGGTCCCAATTCTCAAAAATTTCCAAATACTTTACTTCTTGTTCTGTCATATAAATAGAATAAAAACCCACTCCAGTCATACTCAAAAGTACAACTCAGAAATCCATGATATTAACATATTATTCGTGATTTCTAATTTTGTAAGTTTCGTGTTGTGTAACTCACCGAGAACACATCAACATATTTTCAACCAATGCATAATAAATGACAATAGCCAATGAAAATTTGAATTATTTAATTCAAACCCTTCGGAACACACTCATTTAGATCTACATTATAATTTTGAGCAAAATAGGAAAATTTTCGAAAGAAAGCGAAGTATATTTACTGTTACTCTCACATTTATAATCAACCAAATTTACACAGTACAGTATTGAACGAATGCATGTTGCACCAGGCTAAAAGCTAGCCGCAATCTTTCGCTGCAAACGTCGGATAACTAAAATTGCGGGGAACCCTTCTCAGAAAAGGCAGCATCCTAAAGTGTTGAAAATTCAATATTACTGCAATTCTATAGCTAAAATTAAATTCCTAAGAATTCTTTAGCAAAAATTCTGTATCTGAATTTCGCAAAAGAGAGCTAATAATTTTCCCCGAACATTGAACATTACGATATTAATCGAAATTATTCCAAACCTCAGTCTACGTCATTTGAAGTGAATCGGAAAAATGGCACTAGCGAAGTAACAATGCTCAAAAAACTTTAATAATTTCATAAACCATTCTCAAGCAAAAAATCTCCAAATATTTTAAAAAACTTCAAGCGCAACAACAAATAGCTAGAATACGAAAAAAAATAAGAATAGTGAAAACACAAGAGGTTTTAAGCAAATTTACTCATATATTCCATAGAAAATCACCATGAAAGGGATCCTCCAATTCTGTTCCCTTAACTATCTCTCGAAAAAAATTCATATTATCAGCTGTCAAACCATTCCAGTTAAACCACTTGCTATAGGTCGTGGGTGATTTGTACAAACACACTAATTAACTTAAAGTACACAAAAAATCTCAAACGATGAACAAATTATAACCATAAAAAAGATTGCGATAGAAAGGACATCACGTGAAATATAATCAGAACACCTAAGGCCTGTACAGTAGTAATGCACAGCAACAACCGCAGCAGTGATGCATCCACAAGATTTCTCATAGTCATGTGTTATTTAAGTGAGCTCTAAAAAAAAACGACCATAGAAAAAGTTATTTCGCATCACGGCCTATGTTGCTTACAAATAGCTGGTGAGATTCCAGTAAGGCCAATTGTATCGAACAAACCCGAAGTTGGGACTACTAAAAGGCAGTCTCAATACGAAACTTACGAATAGTTATATAAAAAGCAAGAAATATATTTTTGAATTGTTCTGAAAGAACGCTAGCTATCAACAGCATACAATGAACTGGAGCAATAGCAATGAAGTAGGCTTACTGCTTGAACGCTCTTCACCTGACCTTTGTGATGAATATCGTGAGTAAACGAAATAATAGAAAAGGCTACGCAACACTGTCATTAACATTCATCTTTTGTTAATAGATACGCAGTGCAAATATTTATCCTCAACAGATTGCTAAAAGTTATGAACTAGGAGCTAAACGCACAGACCTCTGTTCTAAAATGTAAGACTGCTAATTCTTCATACACTGTTTCCAATACTAATGCAATAATTAAAAACAATAAAAAAAAAAAAAAAAAAAAAACATAATTTCAAGTAACAGATATTAAGTGCTATCAATTAATTTGAAAACAATTACTTTATAAAAAAATGAAAAACTACGCGGAAATGGTTTGAAAAAACGGCGTACAACTCGAATGAGATCTGCAAAAGAAACCCCTTCTAATTTGCAATTCTTCTATGTCCACCGAGTTTTTTCCGGAATTCTGCTTAGAGGACTTTCATATTCATTGTTCTTCCTCTTTTCCCGCAAAGAAAGAGGAGCCTGAGGTACGGTAGTCACATTAGTTGTAGAATTATTTGACGGCGATTTGGTTCCTTCTCCTTTTGCACGATTCACCGCTCTTTCATCACGATCTTGGCTATTAAGTTCACTCCTGTATCCACCGATTATATACCTTTAAAAATCGGTTTAACAAAATCCTTGAATGTTAATAATTTCGTGGTGAAATTACTCAATTTCCAATGAGTACACTTTACCATAGATGTAATAAACGCAAAACATGAAGAAGTAAATTAACTGATCAAGTACGACTAACTTGGAAACTTCACTCTTTCCAGCTTCATATAAATCAAAATATTTTCGAAAATGTTACCTTTTCACTTGACGTGGATCAACAGCAGCACGAATCTGTGGCATCCAGCTACCTCCTGAACCACGACGACTTTCATAACTACCGACCCGTTCTGTATTGTGTTCTTCCATATGACTATTTTCGTAACCCGATGAATGCAAACGATGATCTTGATCGCGATTTTGAATTGTTGTTGCCCCATATAGACTATCAATTCCAACCCTTGATGTAGATGTCGACGGTATTTGTCCCATTTGAATTACGTTACTAGGCTAGAATAAAACTAGAATAAAAGGAAGAGTAGATCTCCAAGTCGAAAAAAAACAAACAAGGTCAAATGTGTTTTACTTTGTAAAACAGGAAATGCAGAAAGTTGAACGTAGCTAAATCTTCCAGTTTAGCTTATTTAAAATGAAAAGTCTAAACAATATCTACCGGAACAAGACGTGGGTCCAGCGCAGGAGTCACGGTTGAAACTAAGCGTGAATCACCAACAGCTGTTACACGTGGATCACTGACTGCTGCCCTTTTACGCGGATCTCGACTTACAGTCGACATCCTCGGATCGGCTAACCTTGAGACACTGCAATGGACCATTCATTGTATCAGCAATAAACTGCGCAGCAAAGGCACATCATAGCTCAAGTAAAATATCGCATATTGTCACCTTTCGCTGTTTCCATGGTTACATAATATCACATCAGTATTAGTTAAATCACATTTTCAAACGCGAATAACCTTGGTTCTTCTTTTGGAGGAATAGAAAGAACAGTAGACTGGGTAACAGATGTACTTGCTGTAGTATTCGACTGCTGCGCAAAGATTTGAACAGGTTGTGGCAGTGGCGGTGGTGCTGCATTCATTAAGGAATTCGTAAAAGCATCAAAC